ATTTCTATATTCATCCTACTAAACATAACTTCTAGTGTAGTGGCTGCAACACTTTTAGCCCAGGGCTGTCTAACTTACATGTGGTCAGGCGCAGTGCTGTATGGTCCTACTCTTCGCCCCCATGCTATTCCATATTCCATGCTGTACTGCAAGCAACTCCCACTGCTTCCCCAGCCCTGTGGGCTGTGCCCTGCTCCATGGGCAGGAAGCAAAAGCTGGAGGAAGGGTGAGAACTTAGGGGCTGCAGGTTAACCATGACGAGTTACTTTCATGCCTAAATTGGGCATTTCTTTTCACTCAATAAGAGTCTTTAATACATTAAATTTGATTCCTTTAAACTCAGACTGCACACTAAGTGAGCTTTGTTCTGCATTCAAGCAGTACTGACCTCCTTATCCCAGCTTTCCAACTGCAACTTCTTCCACTGTTCTCTTTTGGCAAAGTAATCAGGATACATTGCCTTCTCTGAAGGATGCCAGTATTCCAGGACCCATTCAGGAGCCTGTCCAAAGAGCAAACCAAGCACTAGATGAAAGAAACCATAAAATACAGCAACAGTACATACATCTTAGGCAACAGATGTCATCGGATGGGTAAATGGTCTGTAAAGCTCAGCGTTTCATAACTATATATCTAGCTCTTACGTAGCGCTTTCCAGTAGATCTCTAATCACGTCAGGGATAAAATTACTGGCCTCTCCTCCATTTTACAGACCATTGAACAGGCACTGGGAGGACAGTAACTTGCTTAAATGTCACTCAGAGCACAAGCAAGCAAGCTCAAGAAAGAATCCAAGGTTCATTAGTCCCATAGTGCTCTTTTCACTAAGCCAAATTATTCCCATTTCTCCCCTTGCAAGAAGAGCACCAGTTGCAGATACTTGAATTAACAGTTATAGAACAGGTGCAATTTAAAATGGGTCTTGTGTTTAAGTTTGGTCACTACCATGTGTGGTACAAACCAGATGCAGCAATGAAAGGAAGGTATGGAAGTTATAGAAGTAAAAGTTGCAAGACTAAAAATTCACCTCATTTTTTCTTATGCTGTGTGGTTCAGCAATCATATATCCATAAGAGGGGGGGTTATAAAATGTACTCTGAAGTGCAGTCTAATCAAGAGTAGAAGCAGGATGCATCAGTACACATCCTTGCAGGATTGCTGCTGTTAATTGCCTGTTACTATACAAAATAACATCCAGGCTCTGTATAAGTACTATTTCCCGCCCCCCATTACCAATTTTCAAACTAATCCCTCCCTTCCTCCTCATTCAGGTCCCTCATCTCCTACCTTGATAACTGCGGGTCACCTTTCCTGCCCCATTTATCCTGCCAAAGTCCATATCCCTCCCCAACCTGTTCAAAACACAGCTAAGGAGACCTTCCTGGTCATTTGCCTGAATCATGTAAACCCAAATCCTCTCAAAATGCTTCCATTGCATCAAATTCAAGCTTTGCATTCTGTTTTCCAAGAACCCTCACAGCTTTGCACCTCCTTTGGGTGTAGACACAGAAGAAAGTACATGGATTTTTCTTTGTAGTATACTGACTCCATAGTAAGGAATGGACACAGGAACAGCTCTCCAAGTTGGTTACCTGCAGCAGGGACTATTACAGTGCCTGGCCAGGGAAGTGAGTGCGCGCTGAGCAAATCAATGACACATTTTTCATGGCTTGTGCACTGTAGTAAAGTTACACAGCATCATGCATATTACATGTACATCCTTGGGTGCGTCCATCACCTCAGTCTTCGTTTTTATCCCAATGTGCTCCTTATGCAGACCACACACCTGAACTAATCTTAGACATCACCACCCTCTTCAAATCCCACTTGCTGATATAAGAAAGGGTGGGTGCATTGTCCAATAGTCAGTCTTATTGAAATGCACGTGAGGAACAAGAAAAAGACCATCTGAGGTTCACGCAACAACCTTAAAAAATTTCTATATAGTATTTTTGTTTTTTTAAGAAAAACCCCAGGAATGTTAATGCAAATCTACCTTAGCTTTTTGTTATACCATGTATCACTGCAGTGTTGAACATATGACAGTAATCCACAAGTCAGAAATCAATCATTTACAACCTTAACTTGCAATACTTGAGTGAGAGGTTTTTTGGGGGAAGGGCAGGAGAAAGAAAGAAATAGGGATCCATTAACAGCCTTCATGGAAAATAAGAGCCCTAACAGAATGAAAAGGATAGCAGAGCATTACAAACCTACAACAGTGATGGAAATCCTCACCCCCATCCCTAGAGCAAGAGGCAACGATGGTGTAAGAAGGCAGACCAGCATACAAGCTCCATACTGCCAAACAGCCTGCTGATATCTTACCTACCTTGTAGCAGTTATATCTCTCATACGATGTGCCTCCTGGAGAGTCAGGGAAGATGTAAGGCTGAGGATGCTGCTTTATCCAAAATTCTTCCTCGCCAGCTTTTAGCAGTAGCGTTGCTTTCACCATATCCTTCTCATTCTTGTTTTTATCAAACCGATCTCTCAGCAAACAGGCATAGAATCTATACTTATCTCTGTAAGTACAAAAAACTTGCAATAGTTCTAGTGGGAAAGAAAGCAGATGTGTCAAAGGTTTCCAGTACAGGAATATTAGAAGTTTCTCTATGCAGCATAGTCTTGTCCTCAGCTTTACAAATCATATACTGTTCATCCTTTTCATCACCAGGAAATAGCAGCAGAAAGCCTTCTTAGGTCATCTATTCATTCTCTAACAAAGGCCTGCAGATTGTCCATTTAAATTAGTCCATCCCTCTGCCTGGTTATGCAAACCCAGGCAATTTCTAACCCAGGGGTCAGCAACGCTTTTGGGCTGTGCCAAAAACACCTCCAACCTCAACTCGTAAGATGCTGGCATGCTAGGGGTGGATGGGCGAGCTGTGAGGGGCCTGATCCTTATCGTGGCAGAGCAGCCCTAGCCCCTTCCCTGCTGTCCACCCAGCAGAGTACCACACTCTGGTACTGGTTGGTGCCAGGGGTTGCCTACCCCTGATCTAACTTATTTCTAAACAGCAGGGGTTGGCAACCCCTGGCATGTGTGCCAAGTGTGGCACGCAAGGCCCTTTTGCCTGGCACGCAGCAGCCAGCCCCAACTCTGGGTAGCTGCTGCCAGCGACGGAGCCCAGGCTGCTCTGAGCAGGGCTTGCAGCATCCCAGCTGCCTCCTGGGAGCAGCCCAGGATCCCGGCTGGCAGCAGCTCCCCAGAGCCGGGGCCAGCTTCAGCCGGGAGGCTCCAAACAGCTGTGCTGGGCTCCAGTACCAGCTCCGCACCGGTGCATGCAGGCGCGCCTCAGAGCAGGTGGTGGGGGTGGGGCCTGAGGCAGCACAGCCCTGGTCTCTCCCCCGCTCCCAGCACGGAGGTGATGAGCCCAGAGCTGCTGTTTGTAGCCAGCCCGCTGCTTGCTGCAGCTGCCCAGAGCCTGGGCTAGTTACAAACAGCTGCACTGGGCTGATCACCTCCATGCTGGGAGCGGGGGAGAGACCAGGGCTGTGCTGCCTCAGGCCCTACCCCCACCACCTGCTCTGAGGCGCGCCTGTACGCACCGGTGCGGAGCTGGTACTGGAGCCCGGCACAGCTGTTTGGAGCCTCCCGGCTGAAGCTGGCCCCGGCTCTGGGGAGCTGCTGCCAGCCGGGATCCCGGGCTGCTCCCAGGAGGCAGCTGGGATGCTGCAAGCCCTGCTCGGAGCAGCCCAGGCTCCGTCGCTAGCAGCAGCTACCCAGAGTCAGGGTAGCTGCTGGCAGCCATGGAGCCCAGGCTGTGGGCCAGGGGCTTTGGGTGGGGGGCCAGGGGCAGCAGGGCATAAGCAGGGCATCCTGCCATGAACCCCTTGCCCTCATTTTGTTTTTCTGCCATGCCGGCACTCCAGCACCTTCCAAGGTAGGCATTATGGTGTTTTTCAGCACTCCGGCCAAAAAACGTTGCCCCCATATAGAGGATCTGTGCTCCCATCACCAGAATCCTCGGCAAAGCTCTTCATCAACTTGCATCATGAATAGTTACCTTCTTCAGTGAACTTGGCTGCAACCCAGTACCTCTTAAGATCACACCAAATGCTAATACTAAGATAGTCTTCTTGGCACACTACTTTTTGCATATATCCACTCAGAATCCCTCCATGGGCTCCCTTTTCACTTCCACATCAGTAGTTCCAGTCTTTATCCTTGAGCCCTTCCACAGAAGTGTCCTGTTTGACCTAATTATTCTAGTACTAGGCACTGTCCACCACAGTTTCTCCCTTAAACAGCTTTGCACTTTCTCCCATGTTGCTCCTTCTGCAAACAACAGAATTATGAAAACTATCATTGTGCTCATACATTATCTATTATGGAGAATGATTAGAGACAGGGATACCTCTCCAGGGATCTCTCTTTACATTTGTGGAGCATCATCATGCCAAATACTTTGCTCTTACTGCAATGTTTCTAGCATGATAACATAATATGCAAAAGCTTCGTAACCATGAGAAAGAAGATGCAAGCGCTTGTAGACATGGATCACTCAAGTATTTGTAGAGTACAATGGGACCAGGTGATCTCAACTAAAGCCAGCGAGTACTATAAATAATCCATAACTTCAGAAGGGACCATTACATTTGCCTTCATATGACCTCCTGCATAACCCTGGCGAAAGGAAGTCCCCCAGTTATTTCTGCATCAAGCCCACAGCTTCTGTTGGATCCATGGCATGGGCATCAAATTTGCTTCATGCCCCAGGCTGGATCTAGGCCACTGGGCTCCTTGCCGGGCAGATCCAGCCTGGGGCACAAGGAGGTGGAAGCTGCTGCAGCTGCACCTCTAACCTGGAGCAAGTGGCTGCAGCTGGGGCTGGTGCTGCCGCTCCTCTGACCCCGGGCATGCAGCAGCGGCTCCATCCCCTGCCCCATGTGACAGCAGTAGCTCCAGCATGAATCAGAGATACAGCCACGGCAGTAGGGGCAGGCAACGGCAGTAGGGGCAGGCAACGTGGCCTGAGGGCAACCAGGGCTGGGTCACAACCCTCGCTTGCTCTCCTGCCCATCACCAGGGCCCAGGGGTCTGCAGGAGACATCCCCGCACGGCTGGCGGTGGTGCCAGGGCTGTGTTTTTGCTGCCTGGATTCACAGTGCATCCAGTCATTCAAATCCCGCAGTCAGGCTCCACGCCACCCGTAGCCCGTCCCTGCCACATCCCACAGGGCAGGCGGGTGCTGCCTTCTCTCCTCACGGCTGCTGCTGGCAGGACCTCGCAGGGTGCAAGGAGCTGGACTCCTGCAGGACAGGGTGCAGCCAGGTTCCAGCCTCAGCCTGACCCCTCCCCTACCCCCTGCAAGCGCTGCAGCCTCCCACCGTCAGGGGGCGCTGCTCACAGAGAGGCTGAGAGGGGAGTCCTCCCACGCATGCGCACTCCCTCCAAGCTGAACTGGGGCGCCACTCCCCCCACGCATGCGCACTCCTCCAAACCCAGGGACCAGCCCCTGCGTCATGGGGGGGGGCTGCAAGGAGACGCCGCACGGGGCGGGAGGCGCCCTCACCGGTGGATGCACCAGGACTCGAGGTGGCGCTGCGCGCGCTTGTAGAGACGCAGCACCTTCTGTCTGTGTGTCAGGTACCCCGCCATCTTGG